GGCCAGGGGGGAGGACATTAAGTCCCCCCTCATTCTAATTTAGGGCACCACCCACCAGCAGGGGGGAGGACATTAGGTGTCCCCCCCTAATTCTAATTTAGAGCCCCCACCCACCGCTCAGGGGTGGGGGCCAGGGGGGGGGGAGAAATGTCCAAATTGCCCGAAATTCGTCCGAATTCATATTCGGACCGAAACGAATTGCACATGTCTATTAATCACTTAAATTTTAATTTTGTTGCTATATTTAATATTTATTGATATTTTTTTATATATATTTTCTATATTTTAAGATGTTGAAAAAAATATTTTAAAAGTTTATCCAAAGATGTTAAAACATTTCTACAACGGGGGTGGGACCTGACCGCCGAGCAGCCGCTACTTAGAACAGATCCTGCTCTTCAAAGCAAATATAGCCAACAAAAAAAAAGCAAAAATAGCTTTCACCCGTCATATGGATCGCCAGATGAGAGGCTATACAAATGTGCTCATGGTGGAACTGAAAATGCAGACTTACCTGCAGGATTCACCTGAGCGACCTCAGCGGCCTACAAGCATGTTTGGCACGGGGGAGACAGTCACTCTCCTGCCAACACACAAGGCTGCTAACTCGAATATGGCCCCTCGCCCCCCCCATGGACCGGTGGGGGTTATCCCGGTCCTATGCCAACAGAGATTTCCTAACTCTAAAATGACGGCTACAGCAAATGGGCCTTCCCAAGCAGCACAGCCGGGCTCTATTCTTCAACAGTAGATTTATATTTTTACAGCATTCTTGCTCCGTATGGCAGAGAGACAGAGGAGCTCTCCCCAGCCCCAACAGAGTTACTCACCTTCTGTTGATCATGAGCGAGTCCCTGCCACACTATCGACAGCTGACGCACCAGGCAGTCAATACGTAGGGCAGTGGCCGTCCGCATCGGAGGTGGAAGATCCCACTGTATTGCACAGTGCTCCTGCCCAAGAGCTAGAGGCAATGGCCGACCACCAAGACAAGGTCTATCAACCTGACCTACACTCGCCAGTCATCTCATCTGATTGTGAAGTCGAGTCGACATGGCCCAGAGTGTTCCAGCAGGAGTATATGATGCCTGTATTACCATACACTGTCCTGGTCCCGGCCAATGGACTCTCACACAAGGCTCCAACGGCTCTGCAGAACAGGCATCCCAAGACTAATAACTTACTTTCTTTTATCTTTACACTGTCTCCCACCTGAGGATGGCTCCTCCGCTTCTACACTAATTTGTTTCTAAGATTGATAAGTATGTTATCTTAGCTCTTTGTTGTTACCACATGTCTAGACACCTTTACCAGTGCTTACACTTACCTAGCATAGGTTATATTGGTACTCCCAAATTGTACACAATATGCCTGGATTGCATTAGGAGCCTTACAATTTACCGTGCATCCAGCATTTAAGTGTTAAGACCTAGCCTGTTGTAAAGCATAATATACTTTAAAGGTGTTGCTAGCATGCAAGCATAGCTCATATAATTTTGTTTTACCTTTAACCCTGTGAGCACTGTTTAATCATATCGTCATCCTATGCTTTCTCGTTTCTTTCTATTATAAAAATGTGCACGGTTTCTATACGTCATGCTTTTTTATCTCACTATTTGCCATTGAATAACTTGTCTATGCTGTCGTGGCATCACTAGTACGTATGTTATTACTTATGTGCACTGAAAAATAAAGAATTTAAAATATATATATTCTTTTTTTTTTTAAACATGACAATAAGAAGATTGTGAGTGCAGCCATATATTTTTACGCACACTATATGAATGCCAAGAACCAGCACCGGGCACATGGAATATGATTTAAAGACTGCGCACAAGGACATTATGAAGATCTATAAAAAAATATTATATAAATATCATGTCATAAATATTCAAAAAATGTGCTACAAATTTTTTTCAAAAATTCAACAGCTTATCCAAAAATATTAAATTGAGGCCTACGTACTTCTAAATCTCCTACATGGATCTGTATATCACATTTTATCAAGTTTTTACTAAGTAAACGTGGGGCCCATTTCACAGGTCATGGTTAATGCAGTGCCTTGGAGAAACCAAAACTGTTGAAACAGAAAAAAACATTTTTCTAATACACTACTGTACATGCATTGTCACATAGGAGGCTAGATATTGATGGCCATTCTTCTGGGTTCTGCTGGTTACAAGGCAGGATTTGGCAACCTGCCAAATGTTGTGGACTACTTCTTCTGTTGCTTTGCCAGCATTATGGATGTTAGAGCATTATGGGAGATGAAGTCCACCACAACTGAAGTGCCTCAGGTTGCCGACACCTGTTATAATCGGTCCTTTGAACATCAGTACTTACTTTTAAAATTATTTACTTGGATATTTTTTGTACTAATTTGAAATAACAGGGAAAGAATTGCTCAGAATTGAATCCACGTTACTATGTGGAAATGTGTATCGCAACTGCCATTACTTTATTATTGAATTACAATTTCAGGTCTGAGTCAGAAATGATCCATTTAGAATACACAGTTAACACTAAACAATAAATAGGAATGACTAACAAGTGTTGTGAAACATCCTTTTTATTGAGTCTGTATCTGATTATAAAAAAATATGCCTGCGTGTTTATTTACTGTCTCCAAGTATATTTCACATAAGTTATAAAAATTTTCCAAGAAATGTTTAAAAGAATTCAAGATGGTCTCCATTCTATTTCTAGGCAGTATACACTACATTGTCTGAAAGCAGAGGAAAACGGGCATGAAAATCGAAACTGGTTGAATGGTATTTTTTATTATAGGAACATTTTAGTGTTAGAAATACAAAGATGTATTTCTAACACTAAAGTGTCCCTCTGCCAACCTTTCCCCCCTCCTCCATTCACAAAAGGGTTAAAATAACCTTTACAGTCACTGTTTCAAGTGCCGATGTCCCTTGGTGCTAGGTCGCGCTCCTCCTATGCTGATGTCAGCCAATGGGGGGGAACATAAAGCACATAAGCAATAATATTTTGGATGTCCTCATGCAAAGAGTAAGGACGTCCAGTGTTGTTTCACAAAGTCAAACTCTGGGAAACAACAGAAGGCACTAGAGGCAGTCTTAGCACTGCAATGTATATATTGCAGTTTCTCTAAAACTGCAATGTTTTTAGCTGAAAACTGTAATATTTTCAAGGTTAAGGAGACAGGGGCACTGCACCCAGACCACTACAATGAGATGATGTAGTCTGGGTGCCTGTAGTGTCCCTTTAATAAAGAGTATGTGGTTTATGTAATATAGGTGCCAGTAAATGTTGCAATATAATAAGTATTATATTGCATGTGGATAACAGTGAAGGGATAAGTGGAGAAGAGCTAGGATACGTGTTTATGCACTATATGAATTCACAGAAAGATTAAAGGGACACTATAGTCACCAGAACCTCTACAGCATACCGTAGTGGATGTGGTGTCTGGAACATGTCCCTGCAGACTCAGCAATGTAAATGCTGCCTTTTCAGAGGAAAGGCAGTGTTTACATTGCTCCCTAGTTACACCTGGAGGTCCTGTCACTCAGACAGCCACTAGAGGTGCTTCCTAGTCCATTGCTGCCTTGTGTGCAGCACTTGTATTTTGCGTCTCCACGCTTTGCATGGAGACACTGAATGCAATAGCCTCCCAATGCTATGGTAAGGAGTTGGAGTGGCTGAAATCGTTAAGATTGATGATCTCAGCCATGGAGGTAGTGGCCAGACCAGCGTGACAATGGATTAGCGTTGAGTAAGGTACCTTTTTACTCAATTCTGTGGGTGCCAGACAACTTTATAGGTAGACCAGCACTATAGTGTTAGGAATACATATTTGTACTCATAACAATATAATGTCAATAAAGAAAGAGACAGATTAATGAGGGAAATCTACAATGAACAAACAGGATTATTCACCAAAGTGAGAATTAAAAGTGAAGTCAAAGTGAAGTTCAAATTTAAAGTCAAAATAGCTAAACTGGAAACATTTCTGTTATGTTTTCAGTTTGGCAACTCTGGCCTAAAACTTGAAATTGTGTACTAATTCCCTTTTAATTCTTACTTTAGTAAATAATCCCGAAAATAATGAGGATTCCCAGTACCTGACGCTTATCACCACCTACCCTTTATTTACCTTCAGGGGGAAGGAACATTAGCTCTGCATATTCCTTGGCACAGCACAGATTTGCCAGGGTGAATGCACGCATATTTTTCTTCATCATGGTTGTATGGCTGTGTGGCTTCCAACGACTGTGTTTCTGTATATTGTTGAATGCATGCTTATTTATGTATGCTAGTGTGTTTCCAATTATGCGTGTGTTTTCCGTTGAAATAACCTTTCATATTGAGGATAACATCTGGAAGATGTGCATGCAAAGCTGTTCTTGCATTTCCTAAGAATTTCATCTTTTTCTCTTTGTTCCAGTTTATATTTTATTGTGCAGTAAAGGTATAACTAAGCAATGAGACATGCAGCTATGTGTTTTGGTATAAAGAGGTGGATTGTGCACAGTCTTTATGGTATCTAATCCAGGAGAGTCCAAATGGTTGAATCCCAGTAGTTTTAGAACTACAACGTTCAAGATTCCTAGCCATACTAAAGGCCGGCAGAGCATTGTTTTTTTTTTTTGTAGTTCTACAACATCTGGGGTTCTTCCTTTTAAGCACCCCTTATTAAATCAATATTTAAAAAATAAAACACTCCAGAAATTCAAGCATAGTTGTAAACTATATTTAGTACTAGACATTCTATACTCAAAGAAATGTAAAACTCGACAATGGACAGAATTAAAGAAAGTCTATTTACATTGCCAAAGGGACGTTAATTTGACTGGGGAGTAGTCAAAAGGAAGTAGTCAAAGTGAAAGCACTTCAGTTAATTCAGTTAAGTGGTGGCAGAGAGCAATCTGGTAAGCTATCTGGAATTATCTGGGGGCTATAATGACATGATTGTGGCCATTACACCGGTTGTAGAAGGCCATCACATGAGTTCTATCATCGTTAATATTAAGTTACACAGATCTTAACATTAGTGATGATCTCTGTGATGGTAGTCACCATCATCAGGAGATTCAGACAAACACTTTATATAGGACTCTGGACTATTTCTATATCCAGGTCACCCAGTGTCCATTATAGGTGCAGGGTGTGTATAACATTTGTTTCTTGTTAAATGTTTTGTGTGCTCTCCTGCCCTGCTGATGCTTGCTACCAACTAGGTGGAATTGGCTGTGGAGCCTGTATAGCGCCATCTGTTGGTAGCAACAGCCGTATGCACTACCTGAATAGCAAGTCTTGTTAATTTGCATATTCAAGTAGATTTTCAAAATATGGTTTCTGCAGGCAGGAGAGATATTTTGTGTCAATTATTGTTTCCCCCACCCCTTAATGATATAAATTTCTGTTGATGTTGAAGTTGATGTTATGATTTGGTTATTTGTATTTTATTGAAGTTGTCATAGCAATCTAAATGTAATGAGCAAATGGGCTAGTCCCCCCAAAAAATTAAAGATAATAATAATAGATGAGTATGTTAGTTCATTTTGGAATAGCATGTCCTGTGTGAATTTTTTAGGGATCCCAGTAACAGAGTCTTGGTTGGCTGAACAAGCTCTCTAGCCTGGGATATGCCAAAGAAAGCTAGGTCTGATGGCCACAATTAAATTTGTAAAGACAGGAGGTATCACAATGCAGGCAGAGGGATATATCTGCCTGGAAGGAGGGCTGCAGAGTAATAGGCAGAAG